CGTCCACCCTCTGCCTCCTGCGGGAGAATGGGCTCGGCAGGCACCTCTGCCCCTCGCGGCGTCTTTGTAGGCTCCACCCCACCAGCGAGTGTCCCCTCTGGCCTGGGGACGCGGGTGTCACGGCGAGCTCTGGGCATCAGCAGCGTGTTCCTGCAGGGGATGAGGAGCAGCACAACACCAGTGCTGCCCCGAGGCAGCGAGCGAGCAGCGGGGAGCGGTGCGGCGGCAGCGGGACTGAACAGCTGTTTGATGGAATACCGCGACAAAGTGAGAGCGCTGGAACAGCTGAACCAACAGCTGGAGGAGCAGATCCGCCTCTGCCTGGACCGCAAGGCCTCGAGCGCCGGAGCTTGGGGACCCCTCAGGAGGGAGTGGGAGGAGGTTTACAGACAGGTGAGGGGGAGGGTCTAAACACCTGGCTCCATCTCCACACCATCCTTCATCCTATCGGCATGCTGCTCTCTGAGGTCAAAGGTCAACTCAGGCCTCTCCTTTCTTAGATCGTGGTGACAGTGACGCGTACGGTCCACGTGCCTCGCCTAAAAAATCCTAAAATACAAAAGTCACCTGAGGCAAAAAAGTGAACCTAAAAAGTGTGCACGAGCAGCCACGTTACATCAGCTGATTCCTCCACAGATAAACATGTTCTGAGGTGTGAGAACAGAAACTAAGTATTCGGTGTTTGAGTCTTGCTGCTGTTTTTATTGGATCACCTGAGATCAGGTTAGGCTGCGGGGGCGTTACACTAAAGGTAACGCGTGGAGATAACGATGCCCCCCGCTGGCTGCAGCCACTCTCAGCTCTGTTTTCCCACACTCTGTGCAGGTCAGTGAAGCCATCCTGGACAACGCCCGGCTGATGCTGCAGACAGAGAACGTGCAGGCCAACGCTGAGGATTTCAAGGACAGGTCAGAGGTCAAACTCACACTGTGATCAGCAGTGAGCTGAAATGTGGCAGTGATCAGTGACAGACCTTCTGTCAGTAAACAGCAGCGTGAATGTGAAGTGATGGTTTCTTTTGGTCTCAGGTGATCACATGGTGCCCTTGTGTGGCTGCTGGAGGGTACAGCAGACACAATCATCAACCACATTATTCATTATTTTTAAGCACTGATCATAGACTTTATCTAAAAAACAACCCCAACATGGAGCATCTGGTGATCAATAACCAGCCTCCTGCCCTGTGAGTCTCTCCTCCATGTTGTCCTGCGGCTGGTGGTCCTAGTTCTGCTCAGGAACCAGGACCATCAGCTGCAGGCATAGTGACTGTGGCTCCCCCTGCAGGTTCGAGAACGAGCAACCGTTCCGTCGGGCAGTGGAGGAGGAGATTAGCTCGCTGTACAAAGTGATTGATGAGGCGAACCTGACGAAGGCGGAGCTTGAGGAGCAGATGGAGAACATGAGGGCGGAGCTACGCAGTCTGGAGCACAACCATGAGCAGGTCCCACCAAACTCTGTTCAAAAATCTCCCAATTTAAGCTGCGGCAGCAGATGATGCCACCATTTAGAGAAAGGCTGAAAAACTAAATCTTAGAATTTAAGCTTTTTTAAATAAAAAAAAGTAGAATAAGAAGAGTGACAGCAGCCACACAGTAGAGCTAGAGTCAGAACTGTGACAGCGGAGACACAGTAGAGTGAGAGTAGAGTCAGAAGAGTGACAGCAGCCACACATTAGAGTCAGAAGTGTGACAGCGGAGACACAGTAGAGTCAGAAGTGTGACAGCGGAGACACAGTAGAGTGAGAGTAGAGTCAGAAGAGTGACAGCAGCCACACATTAGAGTCAGAAGTGTGACAGCGGAGACAAAGTAGTCAGAAGAGTGACAGCGGAGACACAGTAGAGTGAGAGTAGAATCAGAAGACTGACAGCGGAGACACAGTAGAGTGAGAGTAGAACCAGAAGACTGACAGCAGACACACAGTAGAGTCAGAGTAAAGTCAGAAGAGTGACAGCGGAGACACAGTAGAGTCAGAGTAAAGCCAGAAGTGTGACAGCGGAGACACAGTAGAGTCAGAAGAGTGACAGCGGAGACACAGTAGAGTGAGAGTAAAGCCAGAAGAGTGACAGCGGAGACACAGTAGAGTCAGAGTAGACTCAGAAGAGTGACAGCGGAGACACAGTAGAGTCAGAGTAGAGTCAGAAGAGTGACAGCGGAGACACAGTAGAGTCAGAAGAGTGACAGCGGAGACACAGTAGAGTCAGAGTAGAGTCAGAAGAGTGACAGCGGAGACACAGTAGAGTCACATTAGAGTCAGAAGTGTGACAGCGGAGACAAAGTAGTCAGAAGAGTGACAGCGGAGACACAGTAGAGTCAGAGTAGAGTCAGAAGAGTGACAGCGGAGACACAGTAGAGTCAGAGTAGAGCCAGAAGAGTGACAGCGGAGACACAGTAGAGTCAGAAGTGTGACAGCGGAGACACAGTAGAGTCAGAGTAGAGCCAGAAGAGTGACAGCGGAGACACAGTAGAGTCAGAGTAAAGCCAGAAGTGTGACAGCGGAGACACAGTAGAGTCAGAGTAGAGCCAGAAGAGTGACAGCGGAGACACAGTAGAGTCAGAGTAGAGCCAGAAGAGTGACAGCGGAGACACAGTAAAGTCAGAGTAGACTCAGAGCACGTGTGGCAGGTGTGATCTTCCTTTAGCTGGCTAAGGTCATGTGAGCTGACCACTTCTTCTCTGAGCAGGATGTGCGGATCCTGTACAGTCAGATGGCGGGACGTGATGTGGACGAGCCCGACGCGCCCATAGAAACCAGTCTGGACCAGATCTTGGCCTATATCAGGAGCCACTGGGAGAAAGTGATGGAGAAGAGCAGGGCTGAGACTGACACCTACCTGGACTGTAAAGTAAGGTCCTCTCACCTGCACAGGTGTGCCAAGGTGTGTGTGTGTGGGCGTGTCTGACCTGTGGCGGTGTGTGTCCTGCAGGAGGCACAGTGCGTGAGCAGCAAGCTGAGTCCAGAGGAGGAACAGGTGGAGGCGCTGAAGGCTGAGTGCAGTGACACCGGCTGTAAGATCCAGAGTCTGCAGGCGGAGACCGAGTCTATCAGAGCCCTGGTGAGCCACATGGCAAGCAAGATCTGCACAGATCAATAAGCGATCAATAACCTGATCGAGTTCCCACTAACTGGTTAAATACACTCTCTGCAGAAACGCGGTCTGGAGAACTCGCTGAGCGACGCCCGTCACTGGCACGACATGGAGCTCCAGAATCTCGGCTCGGTGGTGGCCAAGCTGGAGGCGGAGCTAGCCGACATACGCAGTGAAATCGAACAGCAGCGTCGCGACTACGACACGTTGCTGAGCAACAAGCAACGGCTAGAGCAGGAGATCGACTTGTACCACGGCATCCTGGACGGCGAGGAGAACCGCTTCGAGACGCTGTGAGTCGTCGACACAGAACACAGACGTTACCAGAGCAAGCCTGGTCATTAGTCAGCGCACACACCTGCTAATCAGTAACATCCCATCAGAATCCTCTCAGCAGTCACATCTTTTTGTCTTCTTAGGCAAGGCAAGGCAAATTTATTTGTATAGCACAATTCAACAACAAAGTGATTCAAAGTGCTTTACAGAGACATTAGAAACAAAAACAAATAAAAAGCATGGAGCATTCTTAGATACGAAGATGTTTTTATGTGTGTGTGTATAAGAGGTGTGCGCATGTGCACGTGTCTGCATGCATGCGTTTGTGTGTGCGGGGGGGGGGGGACTTACTCTAAAGGTCACAGAGTGCCTCGTACACTCGGTCATGTGACCAAGCATTCACGGGAGCGCGTGATGGATTTCCCTTAAATTTGATTAAAATCAGGGTTCATACCTCAACACAGAGCAGAGGTCAGAGGTCACAGCAATGATGTCACAGTAATGTCACAGCATAACAGCCTCCTGCTACAGTTTGTAGAAAACACACATTTATATATTTGTGTCAGTGTTCATAAATTCTCACAGGAATTTCTGTTATTACTTCAGCCCACCTGCAGGGGGTGGGGCCGCACTTTGGGACTGATGTAGACGTTTCCAGAATCAGCTGATGAAGGATGTCGGCACTGCGAGCAACACGAACGAATTAGACTCAGTCTGACTGTTAAAGGAGATTCTGGGTAAAACTAACACAAACACTTACCTGTCCAGGTGTTCAGATCTCCACTCAGAGCCCGAGGGAGCTGCTGCTCCAGACTCCAGGAGCAACCCTCCAGGATCTCCAGGACCTGCAGCACAGTGACCCCAGAGGAAAGCCTGAGCAGGCTGACCCGGTCTACCTGTGCAGGTGTGGAGGATGCTGGAAGTGCAGTGTGCGTTTCAGCTGCTCGGTGTGGATGTGACGTGTTGTAACGGTCTTCAGGTGAACCTGCCGAGAACACCTGAGGACCCGCCTGAGCCTGACTGGACCTGAGACTCGTGTTGCTCTGTGTTAATAAAAGTGAATGTGACGGTGCATTCAGGAGCTCCTTGTTTCTTTCAAACTCAAATAAAGGTGTGAGAATGACGTCAGCGTGTCACAGAACGCCCTTGACTATATGCAGAGCTCCCGCCCTCCAGCCGGCGCTGTGAAGCATCAACACCAACTTTGCGCAGGAGTGAGCACATCTCAGCTCGTCCTGGTGGTGCTTGTCATTTTGTGTGAGGGTGGTGCCTCACAGGGGTGCAGTGATGGCTGACGGCCTCGCCGAATCCCCCGGTAAGAACAGAGAGGAAACAAAGTTTCTGTAGAAGGTTCCTGATAGCGAGGACATGACTCCGCCCATCCCCCGCCTGAGAATAAACCTTCGTTGAGGATCAATAACTGATTCAAAGAGAAAATAATAAACTATTTAAAACGCAACGCGTTCTGACAATGGCGTCGCCACAGGTCACTGAGAGGGCAACAGGTCCGAGTCATTTCCTGGTCTCCGCCCCTTCCTGTCCAAAAGCAAACATGCCCAAAAACACAAAGTTGTGCTAATTTTTTGCTTAGATGTCATAATCAATAACGGATTATTGTCAGAAACAAAGAGACAGAAATAAACTTTATTAACCAAACTTCTCTTTATTGATCCACAACAAAACAAATCAATCATAAGTTAATCAATACAAATAAAACCCACTGATGATGAGGCTGAGCGTCCAATCAGAGATCAGCAGGAAGTAAACAGTGACTGACGGATTCTAAGCACGGAGATCAATGACACGATCGACTGGACCGCTCTCTGCAGGCTGCGACCAATCAGAGTGCGATGCCCCCAGAGTGCGCTAAACTCCGCCTCCAGCTGTTCAACATACATCTGTCTACTGAGCGTGCTCCATCGCTTATCCGCTGACGCAAATGCAGATGTCAATAAGTAAGGGGGCGTGTCCACCACGGCTGGCGCAAATGATGCCACACCCCATCCAGCCAATCGCCCTGGAGGGGCGGCGCAACCACCACACGGACCCTCATTGGTTACTGCAGTATGGGTGACCTTTTGACGAGCGTTTCGGATGCATCAGCCGAGCAGCAGCAGGTATCTGCAGCCCGCCTGTGCATCGCAGCGAAAGCAACGTTAAAGACTGCACGCTACATAACATCACTTCCTGTGGAAAGCTGGAGAACCATGTTTTGTCACGTGAGAATGAGTTTATTAATATCTCTGGGGGCGCAACACGTTCCTCAAACGAGCTTCCTGTGCAGCCTGCAGAGGGCGGGGTTCCTGTGTTGCTGGCGTTTTGTATTGATCGCTCCCATCAATTACAGCTGATCGATGACAGTTCGAGAAACCGTTAAGGAAGGACTTCCTGTCCGAATCAGCAGCTTGGTTTGTTTGGGAGGAAGTCACTTCCTGTTGCTTGTGTCCATCCAGTAAGAAATCAGTAATCAATAATCAGTAATCAATCGTTCCACACACGCTAACAGAATAATGTTAGCAGCTAGCCTCTGCTGCTAGCTCTACAGTTTTTCCCATGATTCCGCAGGTGCGGCGTCATTTTGCAAGCCTGAGCACAGCCATCGTACCGATAAAGCTGCAGGGACGCCGCCGCGGGGTGTGCTCCCGCCTGCCGCCGTCAGTAAATCACGAGTCCTCGGGCTGTGATAGGTGGTTTAGGCGGGCTGCAAGGGGATGCAGCCCACGCCTACACCCCCCTCGTGGCACACCATGGGTGCCATGAAGGACCAGCGGTTCGTGTCGGGGTTGTACATCTCCACGGAGCTGAGATTGGATTGTCCGTCGTACCCGCCTACGGCGTACAGACGCCCCGACGTGGACACCAGGGACACCCTGCTGCGCCGCGTGTTCATGGCCACCAGGAGGCTCCACTGTCCAGATGCTGAGCTGAACACCTCGGCGCCGCTCAGGAAGCCTGAGCCATCATACCCCCCGCCACGTACATGTGGCTGCCGAGCGCCGCCGCCCCATGACGGCATCGCTTATTCAGCATTGGTGCCGCCGGGTGCCAGCGGTTAGTGTGGTGGTTGTAGTACTCCACCTGCAGGGGCGGAGCAAAAACAGAGATAAACAGATAAATTGTGTAAAACTACGGGTAACGTTTCCACCCCTCAGTTTTAGGCTCCACCCTAAAACTCACTGTGTTGAAGATCTGCAGACCGTCATGGCCGCCCGAGACAACGATCCGGCCATCAAAAACCGTCACGCCCGCGGCGCTGCGGCTCGCACTCATCTCTGTCACCACAGTCCACCTGGAGAGAACGGTAACATAAGCACCGCCATGTTAACGAGGACGCCGACCTGAGCTGAGATCTGAGCATGCTCAAGGTGAGCCAGGACGGCTTTCTTCTTTGAAGCGTACTTTGGATCTTCTTTGGCTGCTGGTTCAGTCAGTTTAGCTCAGCGTGAGGAAACCTGCAGAATCTGTGAACGATCCACGCTCTGTGTTTACGTCTTTGTGTGGAATTACTTTTAAACCCACTCCTACTGAGGAAGCAGCGGGTCACATGACCCACACAGCCCTCGCTGATCACGCGGCGCTGTTAGCCGTAATGCTCGGGTTACACAGAATCGAAGGATTTAAGGTGGAACGACTCCTCACCTGTCTGCTTCCGGGGAGTAGCACTCCACCGAGTTCAGAGACGACTTTCCATCGTAGCCGCCGCACACAAAGATCCGCCCATCAATCACAACCGTTCCCATGGCGCTGAGGATGACAACACAGCTCGTTACATCAGCGGGGTTTATTGATCACAGTGTCTGTTGGAGTCAAACTGCTACATGTTGTCATTGTGTTACTTAAATTCGTAAAGTCTTAGTTCAAGCAGCCGGATCAAAGACACTCCTTTGTCTCTGAGCACGTCTCCAGCCACTCTGTGCTGGGGGGGGTTTGATTAGGCCCACGCCATCGTGTTGTAAGCTTCCTGCTTTTATGATCCTTTTGGCGAGCAGATCACACACACACACCATAGGGGGGTTTACGAGGGGAGGTGCTTGTGTTGTGTAAACTGTAACTGTCATGGGAATAAAAGGCTACGAGGAAGCTGCTCTTTGAAGGAGCTGGTTCGAGGCAGGTGAGGAGCGTTGAGCTCCAACAGCTGCTTCTGACTAAGCTAGCGAGTAAAAGACCGAAGATGTTCTGTCTGGTCTTCGTCCTTCACGAGAATAAGTTTCTAAAATAGCCTTAGTAAGCGCAGACTCAACAGTGTCGATCAGCCTGTCGATCAGCGAGTCGATCAGCCCGTCGATCAGCGCATCAATCAGCGAGTCGATCAGCGTGTCGATCAGTCTGTCGATCAGCCTGTCGATCAGCGAGTCGATCAGCGAGTCGATCAGTCTGTCGATCAGCGTGTCGATCAGCGCGTCGATCAGCGCGTCGATCAGTCTGTCGATCAGCCAGTCGATCAGCCCATCGATCAGCGAGTCGATCAGCGTGTCGATCAGTCTGTCGATCAGTGAGTCGATCAGCGAGTCGATCAGTCTGTCGATCAGTCTGTCGATCAGTCTGTCGATCAGCCAGTCGATCAGCGTATCAATCAGCCTGTCGATCAGCGTGTCGATCAGTGTGTCGATCAGCGAGTCGATCAGCGCGTCGATCAGCGAGTCGATCAGTCTGTCGATCAGCGAGTCGATCAGCGCGTCGATCAGTCTGTCGATCAGTCTGTCGATCAGCCTGTCGATCAGCGTGTCGATCAACGAGTCAATCAGCCTGTCGACCAGCGAGTCGATCAGCGAGTCGATCAGTCTGTCGATCAGTGAGTCGATCAGCGTATCGATCAGTCTGTCGATCAGCGAGTCGATCAGTCTGTCGATCAGTCTGTCGATCAGCGAGTCGATCAGCCTGTCGATCAGTCAGTCGATCAGCGCGTCGATCAGTCTGTCGATCAGCGCGTCGATCAGCCTGTCGACCAGTCTGTCGATCAGCCTGTCGATCAGCGCGTCGATCAGTCTGTCGATCAGCGCGTCGATCAGTCTGTCGATCAGCCTGTCGATCAGCGCGTCGACCAGTCTGTCGATCAGTCTGTTGATCAGCGCGTCGATCAGTCTGTTGATCAGCGTGTCGATCAGTCTGTCGATCAGCGTATCGATCAGCCTATCGATCAGTCTGTCGATCAGCGTATCGATCAGCGTGTCGATCAGCGAATCGATCAGCGTATCGATCAGTCTGTCGATCAGTCTGTCGATCAGCGTATCGATCAGCGTGTCGATCAGCGTGTCGATCAGCCTGTCGATCAGTCTGTCGATCAGTGTATCGATCAGGGTATCGATCAGCGTGTCAATCAGCGAGTCGATCAGCGAGTCAATCAGCGTATCAATCAGTGTGTCGATCAGCGAGTCGATCAGTGTATTGATCAGCAAGTCGATCAGCGAGTCGATCAGTGTATCGATCAGCGTATCGATCAGCGAATCGATCAGCGTGTCGATCAGCGTATCGATCAGTCTGTCGATCAGCGTATCGATCAGTGTATTGATCAGCGAGTCAATCAGCGTATCGATCAGCGAGTCGATCAGGGTATCGATCAGCGTATCGATCAGTCTGTCGATCAGCGTGTCGATCAGCAAGTCGATCAGTGTATCGATCAGCGAGTCGATCAGTGTATCGATCAGCGTGTCAATCAGTGTATCGATCAGCGAGTCGATCAGTGTATCGATCAGGGTATCGATCAGCGTGTCAATCAGCGTGTCAATCAGCGAGTCGATCAGCGAGTCAATCAGCGTATCAATCAGTGTGTCGATCAGCGAGTCGATCAGTGTATTGATCAGCAAGTCGATCAGCGAGTCGATCAGTGTATCGATCAGCGAGTCGATCAGCGTGTCGATCAGTGTATCGATCAGCGAGTCGATCAGCGTATCGATCAGCGTATTGATCAGCAAGTCGATCAGCGAGTCAATCAGCGTATCGATCAGCGAGTCGATCAGTGTATCGATCAGGGTATCGATCAGCGTGTCAATCAGCGAGTCGATCAGCGAGTCAATCAGCGTATCAATCAGTGTGTCGATCAGTGTATTGATCAGCAAGTCGATCAGCGAGTCGATCAGTCTGTCGATCAGGGTATCGATCAGCGTATCGATCAACGTGTCAATCAGCCAGTCGACCAGCGAGTCAATCAGCGTATCAATCAGTGTGTCGATCAGCGAGTCGATCAGTGTATTGATCAGCAAGTCGATCAGCGAGTCGATCAGCGTATTGATCAGCGAGTCGATCAGCGTATCGATCAGTGAGTCGATCAGCGAGTCGATCAGCGTATCGATCAGTCTGTCGATCAGTCTGTCGATCAGCGTGTCGATCAGTGTGTCGATCAGCGTGTCGATCAGCGTATCGATCAGCGTATCGATCAGCGAGTCGATCAGCGTATTGATCAGCGAGTCGATCAGTGTATCGATCAGCGAGTCGATCAGTGTATCGATCAGCGAGTCGATCAGCGTATCGATCAGTGTACTAACCTGCGCTGGCTGTTCATGCTCGACACGCGCGTCCAGTTGTCTGTCTCGGGGTTGTAAACTTCCACCGTGCTGAGCCGCGATTGGCCGTCGTATCCCCCAATGGCATACAGCAGCCCATTAACAACGGCCACACCCACCCTGCTGCGAGCTGTCCTCATTGGCTGGCAGCGCTCCCAGAAGTTTCCAATTGGATCGAACACCTCGACGACATTTAAGGAGTCGCCTGCGGGAGAAGAAGAGTCTGTCAGCTGCACGGAGCGTGCAGACACGCTGCCTCAGGTGAGCGGCGTACCTGAGCTGTTGAGGCCTCCCACCGCATAGATGAGCCCTGTGATGGACGTGCAGCACCTCTGCCTGGTTTTAAAGGTGGGCAGGTGAGGGCGGCGCTCCGGCATCAGGTGGAAATCCTTGGCTTCATCCACTAAATCCCTGACAAGAAATACAGCTGGACATTAACCCCGCCCAGAAACGATCACACAGGTAAGATGTGAAGCCGAGGCCTCGCTGCATCTCACCTGCACTTGTGGCAGCAGCGTATGAGCTCATCCTGCTGGACGCGGTCCGACAGGAACTCGGGTCGACACAGAGGAAGTCGCACCTTTGACAGCAGCTCGGGCAGCAGCGTCTCCCTGCGGTCCTGGTCGTGATGGACCCACGCCAGCACCGCCTCAAACACCTGCACAGGTACCACACGAGGAGCACAGTGGGAGCATGAAGACAACGTGTTTAATACAAGAGCTCATTTTTCACGCCGTGACTCAAGAGGTGAGCCTTGGTATGTGGCACACCTGTGACAGGTAAGCCGCTAAAGCTCGCCAACGGCTCGGTCGAGTCCATCACACTCGAGTTGCTGAAACATGGCCGAGGTTTACCTTTACGAAGGACACCTGACAGGTGTGACCCAATCACCTGCTCGCCCCTACAGTTTCACTCTGCGAGGGCGGGGCTTAGCAGCCTGCTTTTATTTTTGGTTTCTGTTCTTTAATTTGGTTTCCTCTCTCCTGACAGCTCTCTTCCTGTCACTCGGGTCAAAGGTCACCGTCTCCCCCGATGTGCTCTACCTGCACAGCTGTGCTGTGACCTTGTGTGAGTGACTATGATGAAGTCACAGCTGTTCTCTGATGCTTCACGCCACCGCCCTCAGGTGAGGCGACTCACCTGCTCTTCGGCCTTCACGTTGAGTTCGTCGCAGCCGACGAGCTCCAGCAACTCCTCCGTCCTGAGGCCCAGGAACTCCTCGGACAGTGACACCTCCACAAAGTGCTGGTGCAGGAAGCTGTTCGCCGAGTCGTACAGCGTCGTGCACATCATTGTCTCGGCGAACTGACGCACGCCGAGGCAGTTCTTCGGGTGTAACCTGCAAGCAAACATGCCATTAGCTCGCCTAATCGTAAGCTCTAGGGAGCGTGCGATCTGAGCGTGTGCAGCAGGGTGGGACTGACCTCTCCTGCAGGAAAGAGCAGCAGGCGTCTTTGACATTCTGAAGCTGCAGGAAGCTCGAGCCAATCAGGAGAGACTGCACGTTCTGCTGGTCGATGGCGACATGCCCGCTGTACGCGAAGTTTATCAGAGCCTCCAGAGCGCTGCAACACACCCACAGTGGTTACTATAGTTACTATGGTCACACAGTTACTGACATTTTGTTAAATCAATTAAAATATTGCAGGAATGCAGCGAACACGACGGACCGCCATCCTGAGACGCTGACAGAACAAACGTACGTTACATCAGCTCAGCGGAAAAAACACGCAGCACAGCGTTGAGCCTGCGTCACACACTGACCTCAGATCAGTGTGTGACGCCTGTGCTTCATGTTCTGTTTTTATTTATGCAGTCGCCTCAAGGCGCTTTATATTGTAAGGTCGACCCTACAATAACACATACAGATAAAAACCCAACAATCACATGACCCCCAGTGAGCAGGCAGGAACCAGGCTCAGGGAGGGGCGGGGCCATTTGCTGTGACAGGTTGGGGTGAGAGAAGGAAGACAGGATAAAGACATGCTGTGGAAGAGAGACAGAGGTTAATAACAGATATGATTCAATGCAGAGAGGTCTGTTAACACATAGTGAGTGAGAAAGGTGACTGGAAAGGAAAAACTCAATGCATCATGGGAATCCCCCGGCAGCCTACGTCTATTGCAGCATAACTAAGGGAGGATTCAGGGTCACCTGGTCCAGCCCTAACTATATGCTTTAGCAAAAAGGAAAGTTTGAAGCCTAATCTTGAAAGTAGAGATAGTGTCTGTCTCCTGAATCCAAACTGGAAGCTGGTTCCACAGAAGAGGGGCCTGAAAACTGAAGGCTCTGCCTCCCATTCTACTTTTAAATACTCTAGGAACAACAAGTAGGCCTGCAGAGCGAGAGCGAAGTGCTCTAATAGGGTGATATGGTACTACAAGGTCATTAAGATAAGATGGGGCCTGATTATTTAAGACCTTGTATGTGAGGAGCAGGACTTTGAATTCTGGATTTAACAGGAAGCCAATACAGGAGAAATCTGCTCTCTTTCTAGTCCCTGTCAGGACTCTTGCTGCAGCATTTTGGATCAGCTGAAGGCTTTCAGGAGTTTTTAGGACTTCCTGATAATAATGAATTACAGTCGTCCAGCCTGGAAGTAATAAATGCATGAACTAGTTTTTCAGCGTCACTCTGAGACAGGATATTTCTAACTTTAGAGATGTTGCGCAAATGGAAGAAAGCAGTCTTACATATTTGTTTAATATGTGCGTTGAAGGACATGTCCTGGTCAAAAATGACTCCAAGGTTCCTCACAGTGTTACTGGAGGCCAAGGTAATGCCATCCAGAGTAAGAATCTGGTTAGATACCATATTTCTAAGGTTTTCAGGGCCGAGTACAATAACCTCAGTTTGATCTGAATTAAGAAGCAGAAAGTTAGCGGCCATCCAGGTCTTTATGTCTTTAAGACATTCCTGCAGTTTAACTAATTGGTGTGTGTTATCTGGCTTCATGGACAGATAGAGCTGGGTGTCATCTGCATAGCAGTGTAAATGTATGCTCTGTCAGGGCTCCAGAGTGCAACTTAATTTCTCAATGGTGCGACTAAAAAAATGCCGTTCAGTACAAAAAAGTCTCTGCAACTCTAAAAGTCACCGTGTGGTCAACAACAGACACACATTACGGGGCGGGACCTCTTTGATTGACTGTGGTCCAGACCTGTAGTCCTTCGTGTGTACGTTTGAAAGTGCAGGCGGATTGAAAGAGGTGAGTAGCTTGAATGAAGCGATATCGATTCATTAAATCCTGAATCGAATTTCGTATTTAAACACCAGAATCTGAAGTCAGAGCTCACAAAACTATTTCAAGCAAACAGCTTGTAAATGAGAGCTGGCGTTGTGCCAAAAACCGATTTCCAGTGTTTCCGTGTGTTTTTTATGTGTAACATCTCCATGTATGTTGCTAAATAGACTTCGGTGAGCAGGTATCACACAGGGGTTATATATAAAATTTTAAAATTACCTGCTTCTCAAGTATCTTTATAACGGTGTTCTTGTAATTACATTATAGTCAACCGGGTCCCTTTTGTCCACTTGAAAGATTTTTACAGAACTATTGTTGCATTTGTTGCAGTTTCTGTCGTCCTCTTGACCAGATCACTCTTAAAAAAGACGTTTTTAAAGTCAACCGTTTTTTTAAACTGCATAAATAAACTGTTTGTTTTTTAATTTAACTGCGTTCCAACAAGAAAGTCTCGTTTCTGCTGTTTAATAACGAAGAAATGTAACATTTTTAAATTCCAAATTACAATCTCTGAGCTGTGTCTGTAATCAAACCTCTGTAACTTTGCTTCCCTTCAGCAGCACCAGTTCATGTTCACATGTTGATTCATGGTTTTCTTCAGTTTTTGTTCTGCTGCAGAAGATTTTAAGGTCATCTGCTATAAAAAGCCAGGCCAGGAACATCTGCTTCATGTTTTATCCTCAGTTACTTTGACACAAAGCTGTGATGCTCACACCTCTGATGAAGTCTCACAGCTTTGTTTGTATACATGGATATAACTGATAAATGATCAGAATGATAATATTTGTCTGAGGCTAAATTGAATCAAATCGAATGGATTATAGGAATCAGTGACGATGCCCAGGGCAGCCTAGGCCCGACAGAAGTGGATGTAGCTGTGAGTAATGAGAAAAGATGAAAAGAACAACTGGTAACTTTTTCATGAAAGCCTGATCCGTCTGAAATTCATAGCCAGCTCTGACACGGAGCCATCAATCTCTGAATGCTGAAAAAGCAGCAGTGTGTCCAGAAAACAAGTGTCCTCTCTGCCCACGGCCCAGCAAACAGGTCGTCAGAGGAGCCGAGGTGATGATTACGTTTAACATTGTCTACAATATTATCAAAGAGTGCCAACGCACTTTAAGCATAAGCACAAGATTGTTAGTTAATCATTTACAAATCAATATTGTCTGTATGGACAGCAATTTTTTTTTAAAAGTGCAAAACTGCGGTGTTCATCGATTTGGGTGAAAAATTTGGGTGCACCAGTGCAACCCTGACAAAAAGTTAGTCTAGAGCCCTGGATGTCTTCTAATGATGCTGCCTAAGGGAAGCATGTATAGTGTAAACAGAATTGGTCCTAGCACTGAACCCTGTGGAACTCCATAATTAACCTCAGTGTGTGAAGAGGACTCTCCATTTACATGCACAAACTGGAGTCTATTAGATAGATATGATACAAACCACTGCAGTGCAGTACCTGTAATACCTACTGGTGGTGGTCAGAGGGCCCGGTGGCGCCAGTGTCCGGCAGCCTCGCCTCTGTCAGTGCGCCCCAGGGTGGCTGTGGCTACAATGTAGCTGCCATCACCAGTGTGTGAATGTGTGTGTGAATGGGTGGATGACTGGATATGTAAGGCGCTTTGGGGTCCTTAGGGACTAGTAAAGCGCTATATAAATACAGGCCATTTACCATTTACCATTTACAGCATGTTCTAATCGCTCTAATAGGATATTATGGTCGACAGTATCGAACGCTGCACTGAGGTCTAGCAGGACAAGCACAGAGATGAGTCCACTGTCAGAGGCCATAAGAAGATCATTTGTAACCTTCACTAAAGCTGTTTCTGTGCTGTGATGAGCTCTGAAACCTGACTGAAACTCTTCAAATAAGCCTCTGCAGATGATCTGTTAGCTGTTTGACAACTACTCTTTCAAGGATGTTTGATATAAAGGAAGGTTGGAGATTGGCCTATAATTAGCTAAGACTGCTGGGTCTAGAGATGCTTTTTGAGTAAAGGTTTAACTACAGCCAGCTTGAAGGCCTGTGGTACATAGCCGATCATTAGAGATAGGTTGATCATATTTAAGATCGAAGCATTAATTAATGGCAGGACTTCTTTGAGCAGTTTTGTAGGAATGGGGTCTAAAAGACACGTTGATGGTTTGGAGGAAGTAATTATTGAAGTTAACTCAGAAAGATCAATTAGAGAAAAAGAGTCTAACTTAACATCAATGGTACTAAGAGTAGCTGTAGATAATATTACATCTGTGGGATGATTACTGGTAATTTTTTCTCTAATGATTAAAATGTTATTTGTGAAGAATAGGGATGGGTATCGAAAACCGGTTCTTGTTGAGAACCGGTTCCCACTGTTTCAATTCCTTGGAATCGTTTGCCACTTTTAAAAACGATTCCCTTAACGATTCCAGCGCCCCGAATGACGTCATCATGTTGAGTAGCGTCTTTTACCCAGTAGGAAACACGGCGCCTGAGCGGCACAAACGCTCAAAAGTTTGGTTACACTTTATGAGAAAGGATGACAACAGGGCAACTTGCAATACTTGCAAAGTAGATATTTCATCAAAGGGAGGAAACACTACGAATATGCAAAAGCATTTGCTCAAAAAACACGCGATTGCGTTCAACGAATGTCGTGTTTTTGATCCGCTCCGGACTAGCGAAGCTCAACCCAGCAGCAGCGGTAGCGTTTCCACGTCCTCTCCCGTTAATACTGCAGGTAACTAATCAATTAGCATTGCACATTATGTTAGCGCGATTTACCTTATTACAAAACCTGCTATTACTGTGCATTTAGTGACCATGATGAGAGACACAGAGGCTGGCTCAGATGCTGGCAGTTCTCGCTGCAGTCTACCGGTAGCGTCTCCTTTCAGGCAGGATAGACGAATGTCACCGAGCAGAGACTCAGTTTGTGGTCAAAGGCTTGCACCCATTTGCCACAGCAGATGCCCCCGATTTCACTTTGGTAAGTGAATGTGTTTAATTGTAGGCAGGACATTACTGGATATTCTTGTGTAATTGCTACAGAATAATTTATGTTATACTTTGTTATTGCTACAGAAGAATATTTATTTTATTATTTTATATTTACATTTTTTTTCCTGGGGACCCTGTGACACCACATTGAAGAGCCGTAGGCTGGATCACTTAAGATCTCACTGTTGGGTTTGTAAGGCCATGTTACTCCTAAATTTCTATCTTGTTCAAAGAGAAGATATAAAACAAAGTTCTAAGCTAATCGACTTTAGTGTTCTCCTTTTTAAAAAAAAAAAATCGATAAGAGAATCGATAAAGAATCGAATCGTTAAAATCTTATCAATACCCATCCCTAGTGAAGAAGTTCATGAAGTCATTACTAGTTAACGTTAAAGGGATGGCTGGCTCAACAGAGCTCTGACTGTTTGTCAGCCTGGCTACAGAGCTGAAGAGAAACCTGGGGTTGTTCTTATTTTCTTCAATCAGTGACGAATAGTAAGATGTTCTGGCTTTGCAGAGGGCTTTCTTATAAAGCAGCAAACTATTTCTCCAGGCTAAATGATGATCCTCTAAATTTGTGACACGCCATTTCCTCTCCAGATTACGAGTCATCTGCTTTAGGCTACGTGTAGAGCTGGGCGATATGGCCTAAAATCCATATCACGGTACAATTTGAAGCATGTGCGGTAACGATATATATATCGCAATATATTCTTTTCTTCTGTATAACATATTTGACACACTATAAAGGCACACTTAAAATAATTAAATTTTCTTAAAAATCGAGAGTGCGCCTTATGTATGAATTCTGGTTGTGTTTACTGACCTTGAACCGATTTTATATGATACATGGAGCTCAAAAATCTGTCAAAAATGTTTTAGTACGACTTTGGTTGCTGCGGCGCCGCTTGATGGATTGTCGGAGCATTACGGCTGCTGTAGTCAGGAGCCTTGCGGAGTAATCTGGGTCCTAAACTCCGTCCGTTTCAGGTCCCAAAGTCACATGATCACTGTGGCATTACTGAGAGTTAAACTGTCTACAGTCTTTCATCTTTAATAAGATGATCTGCGTTCCTGATTTACCAGGTGTAACAATTAAGTTTAACATCCAGGCATCCATGAAAACAGAATTTATTAAATTTAATAGAATTAGAAGTTAGCTCGCTAGCTTCCATCTAAACATGATAGGATTAACGGAGATGTTCGGGCGGCACGGAGCACCGCCTTTGCCTCCGTGAACACATCGGACTACAAACACGCACATTACCAACTCCGGAAGACGATCAAAGCAGCCAAACGTGAGTACAGGGACAGGGTGGAGCAACAGTTTGACAACCCTCGGAGTATGTGGCAGGGACTAAACACGATCACAGACTTTAGAGGGAAAACCAGCACACCGCAGACCACGGCCTCTCTGTGTGAGGATCTAAACGTATTCTACGCTAGATTCGACACAGCGAACACCATGAGACCGGACAGTGTGCGCACCGCGGATGACGTCAGTGCGCACACTGTGTCTGAGGAGGATGTGCGGAGGTGCTTCAGGAAGTTGAACGCACGCAAAGCTACTGGTCCGGACGGGATTCCCGGCCGTGTCCTCAAGTCATGCTGGCTCAGCTGGCTGGAGTGTTCACGCACATCTTCAACCTTTCCCTCTCTCTGTCTGTAGTCCCAGCCTGCTTCAAAATGGCCACCATCGTCCCTGTACCCAAATCCTCCACCATCTCCTCATTGAACGACTGGCGACCTGTAGCCCTGACCCCCATCGTAAGCAAATGCTTCGAGAAGCTGGTCAGGGACTTCATCTGCTCTGCACTACCCGACTCACTGGACCCTCTACAGTTTGCATACTGCCACAACAGGTCCACTGATGATGCCATAGCCCTGACACTACATACTGCCCTGTCACACCTGGAGAAGAGAGACACGTATGTGAGGATGCTGTTTGTAGATTACAGCTCAGCATTCAATACCATCGTTCCCTCGAAGCTGGACAGGAAACTGCAGGATCTAGGACTGAGCAGCTCCCTCTGCAGCTGGATCCTTAGCTTCCTGTCTGACAGACGCCAGGTGGTCAGACTGGGCAGCATCACCTCATCCCCCGTCACACTGAACACTGGTGCTCCACAGGGGTGTGTACTGAGCCCTCTCCTATACTCACTCTACACCTACGACTGCACAGCCACTAACAACTCCAACATCATTGTGAAGTTTGCGGACGACACTACAGTGGTGGGTCTTATCACCAACGGTGATGAGACGGCTTACAGGGAGGAGGTCAGCGCCCTGACCCACTGGTGTCAAGACAACCATCTCACCCTCAACGTCGCAAGGACAAAGGAGTTGATAGTGGACTTCCGGAGGTGCAGAGAAGTACACACCCCCATCACCATCAACGGCGCTGCTGTGGAGAGAGTGAGCAGCTTCCGGTTCCTTGGTGTACATCTGGCTGAGGATCTTACGTGGTCAGTACACACAAACAAAACAGTGAAGAAGGTGCAGCAGCGCCTCTTCTTTCTCAGGAGACTGAAAAGATTTGGCATGAACCCCCGCATCCTCAGGACCTTCTATCACTGTGCCATTGAGAGCATCCTCACTGGATGCATCACCACCTGGTATGGCAACAGCACCGCCTACAACTGCAAAGCTCTCCAGCGAGTAGTGCGGTGCTCTGAACGGATAATTGGAGGTGAGCTTCCCTCCCTCCAAGACATCTACAGGAAGCGCTGCCTGAGGAAAGCGGGGAGGATCATCAAGGACTCCAGTCACCCCAGCCATAAACTGTTCAGACTGCTTCCATCAGGAAGGAGGTTCTGCAGCATCCGGTCCCGTACCAGCAGACTGAGAGACAGCTTCTTCCACCAGGCCATCAGACTGCTGAACACGTCATAGACACCTCAGCTTCACTACTGGAACTTTAACATTATGCACTCCATACTGTACATAAATGCCACTGTTTTGCACATGTCTCACTCTGTATATTTTATATATTCTATTCATTGTTTACTCTATTTAATTTGTAAAATATGTGTACACACACACACACACACACACACGTAGAAAAATATTTAGTATACACATCCAGAAATGCATATACTATTATATATTGTACATATATTTATTAGTTTCAGATGTAGCCATTCTTGTATTTTGCTTGTTTACATTATTATTTTGCACAACTCTGTTGCTTGTGAAGCTCGCACACAAGAATTTCACTCACATGTGCTGTACCAATGTACCTGCACATGTGATGTGACAATAAAAGTGATTTGATTTAATATAGCATGTTCTGACTGAGAGATTTCTGAAGTATTCAAACGTACAGCTCTGTTATCACTTCCAACATAAATGAAGACAGAAAACTAAACGGCAGTGATATAGTTTATCACTGTATATAATGATGTGCTACGTGATCGCTAGCGACACAGCTATGTTAGCATAACATAAACACAGTGAAGCTGGAGGATGAAGCTAACTTTTTTCTACTCGATAAAAGTTAACGTGAGGGTTCCCGATGGTTAGAGACAAATGCAGTCGCATGGCAGGATGCTGTAAACGGACCAAACTTCAGCCAGGAGAACAACTGAGATAATCCATCCACAATACGAGGTTAGTCATTCATATACTGCTGCATGGGAATAAAGCAGTTGTTAGGGAATTCAGCATTAATGAATCAATGGTAGGGAAGTGGAGGAAGCGCAGTTTTTGGCTTTCCCCATATTCCAAAAGTGCTTCATCTCTTTGCCATTACTGTTGCCAGGCATAATTTACAGATGATGTTGTTTGCAGTCGCTGCAATGCTTTCGACCAAAACAGGCGCAGCTCGATGACACCATCAGCATGCGCTATCATGGTAGTGCGGTATAGTAAAAATCTCTACCATTGGCCAAATTTATATCGTTTCCACCGTATACCATTTATACCGCCCACCCCTCTACGTGTTTGAGAATTATACCACGGAGTAGAGCAGGGCGACATGACCAAAAATATTTATCACGATATACATTTGAAAATTTGCGATAACGATATAACTGACGATATAATTGACACGAGACAAAATGCTTTACAACTCCACAACTTTATTAGTGCAAAAACCCATCAATGTATTTTCACTTCAACAAGCAGCTGTTTTATCTGCATTAAAGTTATATAAAATGTAACAGTGCAAACTCCTCGCTGACAGTTTAACCAAAAGGCATTTCCAGTGGAAACTGGCCGACACATCCTCAGCATAACCATGTATAACATCCACAAAACTTAAAAAGAGGTTAAACACACACAGCACGGTAACATTATGTTGAAGCACAGTACGTATCACTCCGCGAGGCTCCGCCTACGATAGCCGTAATGCTCCCACAATCCATCAAGCGGTGCGGCTTCGTAGCTCAGCAAAGTCGTACTGAAACATCTGACAGATTTTTGAGCGCCGTGCACATAAAATCGTTTCGAGGTCAGTAAACACAACCAGAGTTCATACATGAGGCACACGGGATTATAAGGGGCTCTGTCGACTTTCAGAAAAATCAAAGGATTGATTTTAAGTGCGCCGTATTTTCCAAACAACACGGTAATAACGACGGCCCGCTAGCATGCGCTACCAAAAATAGTGCTTTGTTGTATATCTGACGGACGAAAGCCAAACCAGTTCCACACCAGTGAAGCTGCAGCATTCTTACAAACCAGTTCTGGTTCATCGTTTCATTCAACGATCGGCTTTCGCTCTTCTCGTTCTGCGTCGCCTCCATGTGCGTATGAAAACAAAGGCACTGCGCATGCGCGTTTTACCCATATTCTATCGCCATGTTTCATTTTCCTATCGTTGCCCAACATTACACCGGTGTTACTGTGAACGGTATGATATGGCCCAGCCCTACCACGGAGTCAGGTACTTCTGATTAGAGGCCTTAGTTTTCACAGGAGCTACAGTATCCAGAGTTGTACGTAGTGAGGAGGTGAAATTATTAACAAGATGATCGACCTCTGTTGGAGCAGCGTTCAGATAGCTGCTCTGTGTTGGTACAGGGCACTGAAGATGATAACAGTGGGTGTTACAGTCTGACAGTTATAATTCTGCTCTCAGACATCTGTACAGGTGTGAGCGTACCTGGGGTCCATGCCCTGCATCAGGATCTCATCCTGTTTACACTCCACCATGTCGTTGGTGAACATGGCGTGGAAGTACGGGATGGAGGCCGCCAACACGATCCGGTGAGCGCTGAACTTGTGATCCCCGACCTGAGGACAGACACACTGATTAACACACTCACCTGTTACTCACCTGTCGCTATGACGATAATAGAAAACTGAAAACAGCTACATCTGAGGGATGTGCCCTTAAACACTCACAGAACCACTCCTCGCTAGTCAGCCAATAAGACTTTGGCTTCACAGCAAGCCCCACCCCCCACTTATCAGGTAAAACAACAAGGTGATTGCGTTCCTTCACCCTCTGAAACACACGCGTTTCAACAGGAAGTAGATTTCAGGGTTCAGCATAACTCTGTCAGCTGACGCCATCGATGATGTTTCCACTAGCTTCAGCGTAACGCGCAGCCAATCAGATTCCTTCATCCAACCAGCCAAGTCTGCCTGCATCATTGAATCAGTCTGACTTCCTTTTAAACTTCTGCAGGTCACCTGAGAGTGGACAGGTGAGAACGTGCTGCTTTACTTGCAGGACACCATTTGTCCTGGGAGACTCAGCACCTTGCCTACTGAGCCGTTAAGAGGATCAATGCTGAGCTGCAGGCACAGGACGCAGCGCAGGTGAAAACGTTTCTCGGTTGCACCTGAACACCTCAGAAGCACACCTGGATCATGTGATGCTGACAATGAGCACCCCGCTCCATTACCTGCTACCATAGAACCAGGCCCTGATGGGGAGGGGTGGAGCCACTGAGAGCTTCTTCCTGCTGTAGGGGTTAGGGTTAAGGTCCCGCCCCTCCCTCACCTTGCGGACATGTTTGGAACAAAGAGAAATCACGTATCTGCTCACCTGCTTACGCCACAACGCTGCTAAAAGGCTCCGCCCCTTCTGTGCTGCCTGAGCTCAACTGCGTACGTCACACAACTTCTACCTTCCTCCAGGTGGATTACACACCTGACCTCCAGCCCTGGTGTTAAGAACTGACCGCTCTGACCGGAAGCCGCTTCGCCGCCTTGCCCCTGGGGCTCCCAGGCAGTTCATAGCTCAGCCCATGACGTCACTATCTGATAATCCGCGTTAGCTTGTTAGCATGCCTTAGCTCACTCTGTTAGCTTGGAGGCTAATGTCAGCCTCGCACGCCGCCTCGCTCACCTTGAGCGTGACGTCACAGAGTTTCCCCTGACGTCGGATCTCCTCCATGACGACATAACCTCGTGCCGGCAGGTCGTGCACTGAGAAGTGGACCAAATCCTCGAGCTCTTCGCACAGGACGTCGCCCATCGTCAGCGGGAGCGCGCGGACTGGACCCTGCGAGCCGCCGTACCCAGCGTCAAAGCTGCTTTCACAATAAGAGGGATCACTTCCGCTGAGATGAGACTTCAAAATAAAAGCTTCTAAAGCCTTTCATTTGTGGTTATTGATGAGTGATTACTCATTTATTTGGCCTTAATGTTTGTTTTTGTCAGGATTTAATGAATGTATCAGGTGTTGGCCCTGAGGAGCATCAGCTCAGCTCACGTGACTACAGTGACATCAGAGATGATGTCATGAATGACTTTATGATTGGTGACATGCAGCTGTGAATGGGAGCACAACATCGTAATTATTTAGTGAAAGCTGATTGGCTGAGAGATAAACAGCCTGAACACATCAGAGAGTAAACTAACAAACCGATCTTGAGCCTGCAGTTCCTCCAGCATTCAGCAGAGGGAGCACTGAGTCAGTCCTCATAGACTCCTGTGTTAAAATTCAAATGTTTTGGCCTTTGTAGATAATTTCCCCTTCATAACAACTGCACAATGACTGGATTCAGCAGAAGGGAGGACACATTTTTAACTCACCTCTTTGCATTGATAGGTGCATGGCCTGACAGGTGGATGGTGACAAAACTCACTATAGCTGCTACGTGTCTGCTAGACTTCACCTCAGCTAACTGGAAACTCTGAGCTAGACCTCTGAACTGTGTTTAATGAGATTATCTGACCAATAAGATTGCTGCTGTGACCATCTAAGGATTCTGATTGGATGTTACTGATAAGGTGTATGTGTATGCTAAGCTAGCTAGCAGACAACTGGCTGACAACTCCACCCAGTCCTCCAAATATGGTCACCACAGGAAACAAACATGGCAGCAGGTAATGTTACAGTCTTTTATACAGTCTGGCCTCAGTGATGTCACCCGATTATGGGTGCTTCCAAGGTCGCCAATTTGGCTGAAAAAACTTGAAGGTGGCGAGGAGGGGCGGGCCTGATTGTGAACCCACATGCTCACTGGCTAACGCCCTGTGACTGCCACCTGTCGAGGGTTTGGAGTGAGTGGGTTCCTGGCCATTACCCAATGAGTATGCAGCTTCACCACTTTGAAATACAGGCTGTGTCCCAATTCAGGGTCTGCAGCCTTAAAGTACGCAGCCTCAACGATCCTCAAGGGCCGCGTACTTAAAGACCGCCAAGGCCGGAACTGCAAGGCTTGTGAGATGGGACGGTCTAGCCTCCGTTGCGCTGCCCAGGTTGCTTAGCAACCATGATACTAACAGCTGGAAACGTGTCATACAGCTGTGTTTGACAGAAATGAAGGAGAAAATCGTTTGTTTGTTTGTTTCTACATGAGCTTTGATCATTCTCTGTGAGATTAAGCTCAGCTATTGAACGGCGTATATTTTAAAATAAAGGCTTTAAAACCAAGTTAGTACAAACGTCACTGATGTCACATAACTTTGCCGACATGTGGCCAACAGTAATGTTTAATGTTCTTCGGTATTAAACATTTGCACATAAATAAGTGACATCATATTCAGTACTTACTTAAAGTTTACTCTTCGGCCGCCCCTCATCCGCCGTTTTTTTTTGGCAAAATTATCCACACCCACCGCCGCGCTATGCATTCTGGGATATGTTGGGCCACGAAGTCTACACCGCCACATCCTTAAAATTCAGGGAAATGAAGGAGGCACTTCAGGGCTGCATTTCGAGCAGCCTTTGAATTGGGACAGCCTTCGTCGCGTCGCTGTGACGTAATCGGCCTTAAAATGCGGCCTTTAAGGCTGCAGACCCTGAATTGGGATACAGCCACAGTGTTACGTAAAACTGAGCCCACAACCTCAGCAGGATGTTTTTACACAGGTCAAAGGTCAGAAAGCTGCCTTACCAAAGCTACTGCCCCCTGGTGGCCTTCAGACAGAATGCAGGCTTTGTCCGTGCCCATGCTTCTTCCTCCAGAGTGATGAAGGTGAGCTCAGGTCTTTCCTGAACGTTCAGCAGACAGCTGATTACTTCCTGTACTCAAACACCTCGTCTGCTTTCTATTATCTTTTATTATCAAACAGATTTTTGCACTCAACTGCCGACCAATCAGAGAGCAGCTTCACACAAACAAAACAGCAGAAAAAAAAAAAAAGAGTTTTATTCACAAGTTTCGGTGTTTGACCTTCAAACCCCGAAGAGCACCTGAACGCAGCACCGCCTCTGAGGCTCAAAGTTGCTCAGAGACTGGGATCATGTGACTCCTCGGGACAAGCGGGAGACGGCCTGAGAGTGGATGATGCTGTGGTGCGTTCAGGTTTAGTCAGTTTGTTAGACTCCAGGTGTTTCTCTTGTGAGGCTGTGAACAAAAGGCTGAACATCTGGAAGAACACAGGTGACGTCACATCTGGTCCACAGTTGCTTCATGTTTCAGCTCCGGCCGGCTCACCATTGTACAGAAGGTCCCTGAAGGCACCGCGGCCGTGTAACTGGGTCAGAACCCAGACAGGAAGTTACTGTTCAACTTACTGATCTGTGGGTCCTGGTTCCTGGACGTCAGGTCCAGTTTTTCCTTCCTGCTGGTGATTGTTTTTGTGTGTTTCAAACCAAATCTTTACGCCTCACTCTCAGGGTGTCGGTGCCGCGGCCCTGCCCAGTGTTCTAAGGAGAAGGGGCGTGGCAGTTAGTAGAACGCGATCGACAACGTTTCTAATCGCGCCAATCCAAAATCCGTTTTTAAAAAAAAAAAAATTCAGTAAATGAAACTCGTCAATACACAGTTTGTCCAGCAGGGCGGCTCCACTGGCACCATCTACAGTGGGTGGAGTCGAGCGTGACATCACTCAATGAAACTGCTGACAAACTGATATCAGACCATGTAAATCAGTTGAGCTCTTAACGTTAGCACGGAGCTCATGGTACATTTTTAACTGACGCCCTCTGTGTCCCGTTTCTGTTACCATGGAAACGAAGGACATCGTATTAGGAAAGCAGTGGCTGTAAGAAACGGCGAGGCGGCGAGCAGCTGAAACATGAGAAGCAGCTGCTTCGTCCTTTGACCCTGCACAGAAACACTGGAGCAGAGGACGCGGAGACGTTTCCCTGGAGACAAACACCGATGAAAAACAGACAAGTTAGAAAGAGCCCGCTATGCTACGCTCCCCGACGAGCGTGCTCTACGCCGACAGGTCCCCGTTGTCGAAGCGTTCCTGGTCGTAAACCTCAGCGACCACCTTCCTGCCGCCGAACCAGCGGTGGTTCAGCGCCTGGATGGCTCTGTTCATCTCGGCAGCTTCTGAGAACTCCACAAAGATCTTGACGATGACTTCGGCGTCGTCCTCCTCTCCCTGACGCTCCTGATAGATAATGACTCGCTTCACCTGGCCGAACTTCCCGCACTCCTCGGTGACCTCGCCCTCCAGGTCGTCGTCGATGTCATCGGGCCCGACCATGTTCCTCAAAACCATGACGGTGGACTGAAAGGAGATACGACAGGTCACGACCACTAGAACCAACGATTCGCCATTAGGGGTGGGCGGGACTGAAGCGTACCTCCTGCTTGCGCAGCAGCTTCCTCATCACCATGTGTCGGGCGCTGCTGCCGCTGATGCTCATGTGCTCCTGGTCGCTCAGCGGCTCCATGGCGCCGTCCTGCTGCACCTCCTGCTGACGCTCCTCCTCCTCTTTCTTCTTTGGATCAGCACCAAAGGAAACCGTCTGTGTTGGGGGCGTGGCCAGCACAGGGTTCACCAAGCCCACCTGAGGCACACCAGGTCTCACTGGGGTCACACCTGAAACAGGAAGCAGGAAGTGTTACCTGTTGGAGCACCTTTTATTGGTTAGCATCTTTGGATGAGCCTGGCTTCAAAATAAAGAGAGGTGAGACGTGTGGGCGGAGAAGACTGCCCCAAACTCAAGATGTGATGTCATGTGGGTGGAGCCTGTGTGTGTGTGTTGACAGGGCTCAGGTGTTCCTACCTGTGATGACACCTGGAGCCTGGTGGGCCATGACAGCCTGAGGGAGGCCTCCGAGCTGCTGGGACAGGAGCGCCGGTCCGGCCAGCGCTCCGAGCACCGATGCTCCCACCGCCTCCTGAACGCACCACAGAACATAATCAGTACAGCTGTCTCAAACACTACAATCCTGTACTACAGGAAACACTACATACCACTGCTTCTGTGCACATACAGGCAGAAAAACTACCGCACTGCATCTACTACACTTCTTAGAGCATGTTCCTGTGCCTTGTCTCTGGGGGGGCGGAGCTCCCTGAGTTACCTGAGCTGTGATCTTTGCGGTGGCGACGGCAGCAGCCATGGCGGCGGCAGTGGGCAGTCCACCAGACGTTGTTGGTGTGAGAAGGGGCATGGGTGGCGTCACGGCTTTGCCCACGCGCAGGTACTGACCACCCAGGTCGAACAGGTTCATGGAGGCGACGGCGTCCTGGGCCGACTGAGCCTTCTCATACTCTGCACGCAGGAAATGAGCAGACTGCCGTCAGAAGTCCCGCCTACATCACACAGAGCCCCACCCTGAACAGAGCTGTCTGTCAGCTGACAGGGAGCCCAGGTGTTCAGGTGTCACACCTGGGCTCCCCGTCAGCTGACAGGGCTAACTGAGCCTAACAAACCCTTAAAATGAAGTCGACCCGTCAGGCTGAGTTGCTATGGAAACAGATTGGTGAATCCAAACATGAGAACCGCAAGGGGGTGGGTCACTGACCCTGGGTGCACCTGAGAGGGTCCACACCCCTCTGCGTCTTCCCTGTTAAAGCTTTCACGCCGCGGCGGAGCCGATCGGCCGCTCACCGATGAAGCCGTAGCCTTTGTGCCGGCCCGTGGTCGGCTCGCGGGCCAGCATGCACGACTTGATCTTTCCAAAGGCCTCGAACACACTCTTGATGTCATCGTCGGAGAGGTCGGGGTGCACTGACGCCACGTAGATCCTGTTGAAGGCACGCGCTTCCTCCGCCAGCTGGTCGATGATTGGCTGAGCCTGGCCGATGTTGCTGGGCCTCCCGACCTGCGAGACAGCGAGAAGGGAAACTCAAAACCCGGCTCAGAGTCAGAGGAGGCGGGGCTTCATCATCAGCTGGACTCACCTTGATGTTCCGTCCTCCGAGGACAACTGAGTTCATCTGCTCCAGTGCAAGCTGCGCTGCTTCAGGCATCTCGTATTCCACGAAGGCGAAGCCCTGCAGGTGCCATGGCAACGGTTAGACCCGCCCACCTCAGAGTGTGGTGTGTGTGTTTTATATGAGTGTGTGTGTATGTGTGACCTTGTGCTTCATGGTCACAGAGTCCCAGGACATGTCGATGCTTTTGATTGGTCCAAAGGGGGCGAAGGCCTGCCTGATGGTGTCCTCTCCGAGTTCGTAGTAAATGGATCCAACGTACACGCGACACATGATGGCGAGCGCTCTCTGCCGCTGAGCCGCCACCTGAACAGACACACAGAAAGCAGAGAAGAAGAATCAGCCAGCAGCTCGCCGCTCAGCAAGGAGGCGCTGCACGCTGTTACTCACCGATTGCAGAGGAGACAGAGCGTCGCCCAAACCCATCGTCAGAGACGCCATCTGAGACACACATGAGAGAAAAGGTTCAGTGTGACGAAGCACAGGGGCGGAGCCAAGTCTGCACCCACTGCAGATGAAAAACACGAGTCAGCAGAAGTGTTCGTCAGAGCGGTGAGGCCAAGGGAGGTGAGAACCGGGGGCGGCCGTGGGCGGGGCTCAGTTTTGACCCATCGCAGCAGCCCATCGTTCTGTAACCACGTCACCAGACTTGTCGCGCTGACTTAAACGTCACAGACGCGCTGATGACGTGACGTTTGAGCGACGCGTGAAACCAATGGAGAGAAAGCGCGTGTTTGCTGACTCAGTGCTGTCAGATTACACGTTTAACCTCCTCGGACCTGCGTCCACATGTGACGTCACATTTTGGGTTATTTAGACCAAAATACTCAACTTTGCTCTACATGGGCCTGATTTCCACCTACGAGGACGTTATGCTGCTACTGTTCTATCGACATTTTAAATGAAGATCCTCATATGTGGCTCTGATTTTTCTTAAAAACCAAAATAAGGTTAAAAAAAAAAATCTGGTAATTTGGGCCCCAATCAGCCCGAATATCAAAGAGAAATTAAAAATGCTGCCGTGGAAGAGTTCAGGTCTCAGGAGGTTAAATAAAGTTTAAATCAAGGTTTCATTTGCATCACGTTCCTCGCGTGTGTTTGATCTTTGTGAGTCTTTTTTTGCCTTTCTGTGAAAGTTTTGTATCAATAAAATATTTTCTGACACCATGACGGCTCCATGATGTGGTGAATCCAAAACTAATAATCAATATCAGACTCCCCTCAGTGGCTGCCCGATTAATGCTTCAGCTCACCTGGGTGAGCGGGTCTGACTCCCACCGTGTGACTGCTGTTACCTATGCTGTTCCCTCTGACGCCCCGCCCCCTGAGCACACTTGTGAGGATACCTGCAGGTTGGTGATCTGCTGCTGCTGAGCCAGAGTCTGCTTGACGAGGACGCTCTTGATGCTCTGCTCCATTGCGTACTTCTTCGCCTGCACACAAACAGCCAATCACAGCTCGCCAGTCACAACAGCACGTGTGTGTGTGTGTGTGTGTGTGTGTGTGTGTGTGTGTTTATAGACCTTCTGCAGCGCCTCCGCCTGGTTGGGGGTGAGCGGTGGCAGCCCCAGCTTGGTGGTGGTGCTCTGTCCATTCTCCATGATGAGAGCCGGCCCTCCCTGTCAGAGATCAATACTGACTGATTAGCGATCAATCGCACAGATGATCAATCACAGCTGTTCTCTTCACGCTGTCAGAGGCTGCACCCATCCTAAACTCCACCCATACCCATCAGTCTGTGACATCACCTCAGACACAGCTGATGCCCCGCCTCCACTCACAGAGCTAAACAAACCTCCACTTAACGACTCTTCTTCTGCGTGGGTTTTTATTGTTTCCTTCATGCTGAACACAAACTTTATCATCATCGGTACGAGTGCAGCCACACAGGTGAGACCTTCACCTGCGCAGGTGAGGTCAGGCTGAACAGCCACAGAGACTCACACTCAGCTCCAACCACACCAGCAACCTGATTGACTGATGATCATGTTCTATTCAGAGTGCTGTAACAGGTGACCTGGATCAGCGTAGTGTACATCAAACAGTAGCAGTGGAAACAGAGGAGGAGGTCGTCGAGGCAACGGTGTACCTGCTGCTCGGTCTGTGGCGTTCTGTCAAATTCGGGGACCGCGGTGTAGGTTCGTGTGCCGCATTTTCCTCGTTTGTGGTTTTGATTTTTTTAGGACACTCAGTTCACCTGATCTCAGGTGAGCAGGTACGAACAGGTCTGCTACTCCAGGATCATCAGCATCTTTAGAATAACACACCTGTATCTTCATGTGTTCATTTCTAATGTGGAACTTCACCTGCGTACAGGTGATGATCAGTTCCCACAGTGATACACTCAGGTGAGAAGTGAACCACCTTCTCAGTACAGGTGAGCGAAACTACCACCGTGGACGGTAAGTTGGCACTTTAACCCTCCTAGGTTGTTAGCTTAGCATCAGCAGCTAGCAGAACCGTCCAGAACTTCCGTGCTAACAGTTAGCCTAGCTGAGCCGCGCGCACACCGTTGATCACAGAGAACCGATCAGCGGCTGATCGATTAATCGACCTCTGCGGTCGGTTCCGGTCAGTCTGTGGTGTCGAACCGATTGTGTTACGGAGCACGCGCCGAGGGTCCCTGCTGTTAGCATTAGCTTAGCTTCGTGTTTCCATCCAGGCACATTTCGGATCGTACCGCAGAAACGGCCGCCGCCATACAGCTGCTCCCGCGCTGCGCTCCGCCGCTCCCGCGCTGCTCTCCCCGCTCTCCGCTCGCTTCGGTTCGGATGGTTCTGCGCTCGGAGTCCCCGCAGTCCGCACCGCGGCTCCGGCTGACGTCACTTCCTCTGACAGAAGAGTGTTTGAACAAACGACAACTTCAGGAGCTGAAGCCGGAAGCAGGACCAGTTTTTTCTCAGAACTTTATGGAGGAGACAAAATTATATTACAATGGAACGGCGTGTCAAATTAAACAACTAAGATACATATCAACATTAAAAGGAGAGAGAAGAAAAGGAAATAAAAAATAAATTAAAGAAAAAAAGAAAAGGAAAAAAGCGAGAGATACAGTGACACTGAATAATTAAACAAGGACATTAAATATAGTACAAACATTTACAGTTTTTAAAGCTTTTTTTGTTGTGAGAGGAGCAAATTGTATTCACATAGAGTTCAGTTTCTTTCCTAAAAGTGAGAAAGTGAGGTTCCTTGCTTGAAAACTTACATTTATGGATATGGCATTTGGCGAGGATTAAAATCAGATCAATAAGGTAAAAAGCATTCGAGTCTTTCCTGCTAAAGTCAGTGTAACCAAATAACACATTTTGGTAAAAAAGCACAAAATTTGATAAGATGTTCTTAGAGATGAAAACAGCAATATCTTTCCACAAAATCTGCGTAGAGGTACGAGACCAGAGTAGATGTGAGCAGGTCTCTGGGGCGATCTTACAGAAGGAGCAAAGAGTATCTATATCCCTCTTATATTTTGAAGGAAGCATTTAACAGGGTAAAATCTATGAATTAGCTTAAATAAAATTTCCTTCCCTTTGTTAGTAAGGAGGAGTTTTTGTGGCAAACACCAAACTTTTTTTCCCAGTCAATGTCCTTGACAAAATTAGACCAGAAAGAAATGGAAGGAGGAATGGAGACAAGTGGCTCTTGAAAAATCTTGGCATTCACACCTTTACAAGAGGAGAAACAAATCTGACCTAAAGGAGTCTCTCAGGACAGAGCGGGACAAGAACAGGAGTGGGGAGGCAGTGGTATTTCTAAACAACATGGACAGAGCAGACGGTATGGCATCAAAACCAATACAAAACTCCCTTGGGGATACTGGGATGTTATATCCGGATAGGAACTCTGAGTAATTGTATAATAAGCCTGCGTTATTGAATAGTTGACTTAGTAGAAGAATACCATTATTAAACCAGTTTTCAAAGAACAGCGACTTGTAAAGAGTGTTAGTTGTTCCAAATATAAAACCTTTGTGGAGAAAAGTTGTGTTTATAGATTAAGGACTATGCCAAAAGAGCTTGTTGATGAACGTTTGAGAGTTTCATTGGGATTTTCTGAATATTGTAGTTACAGAGAAGAATAAAGTCCAAGCTACCCAAATGTGAAAAGATATGATGAGAAATTAAGTTCCAGATGGAGTTTGGGTTTTTGAGATGTTTTTTAATCCAATTTATTTTGAAAGTGTAATTTAGGGAGCTGAAAGACCAACATCTAACTACAGAAGAGTGCCAGAGATGGATGACGGGTGATGATGATGGCGGAATACAAGAACACAACAATAAAAATAATAAAATTAAAATATTAGAAGTCCAAAATGTAATGTATTTTAATTTCCTTTGTGTTTTCAAGGTCTTTAACTGTAGCACTGTGTTTGTTGCAGAAGTGTTTAATATAGGCTTTGCAGTCTGTCCATCATTTTGTATGAATAGGAATTTTCCCCAAGAGCAGCAGAGGTCGGAGGAAGTAGGTAGTGAATTAAATCTTTCCCTTCAAAACAGACTTTAAGTTCGAGTTTTTGGTTTATTGGTCTGTCTGTAATAATAAACATCATTCTGAAAGAGTCTGGCATTTATACACATGGATACAACAGGTGACAAACAGCTTCAGTGTGGAAGTGACACAAACAACAAGAATAGTTCTCAAGCTTAAACCTCTCCAGTGTCCGTATGATGAAGTACTTTAAATGAAGCTCCACTAACTTTGTTGCTTAAGCAGAATTTCCCTCCATGAATTTGGCTCCATTTAAATTCTCCACATAAAGAAGTCCAACAGGATTGTGTAGGTTTGTTTATCTCTACACCACTCTCTCAAAGGTTTGTACATGTGAGTTGGTGCACTAAGTGTAATTCCCACATTGCCACATGGATAGACGGATCTAAAAATAGCCAGCTGGAATGTTAATGGACTGAATAATGTAATTAAGAAAAAGACCGTTTTAACATCACCCTAACCCTGGAACGGGCAAAAGTGCAGGGCTGTCGGTTCTGAGTCATAAAACTTTGTCTTAACTTCACTGAGGCAAAAGTAGATAAGGAGGGTAGATATAAACTAGTACGTGGACAATTATTAGATACACCAGTAATTTTATGTAATATTTATGCTCCCAATTCAGACACGCCTACGCTTTTCATCATTTATCACAGCTTCTTTTGGAATCGCACGGTGCACAAACAATAGTAGGCGCAGACTTCAACCAAATACTAGACTGAGACCAGGATTTCTCAAAAGTGGTAGGTGGCGTTTGAATGTGTCCTTACTGTTATTACTAAAATGATCAGGGATGACATCTAATTTTTAAGGAGACAAGAGGTTGAGAGGACACTACATTGACTATGAAAGCGTATTTGAGAGGGAGGATCAGTTCCTTTGCTTCCTTTAAGAAGAAGACAGGCAATGAAAATATCACCACACTGGAGTCTGAGCCAAAAACCCTCAGGCACAAGGATAGGGCTATGCTAAATAAAACCAGTACTGCTAAACAGAAGTTGGACACACTGTGTAATAAAAAGGCAGGATGCGCTCTGCTTCGTACAAACCAGCCATCCTTTAAATGTCGCGTTTCTTTGGAAACATTTAGCTCTACCATCAAAGCTTTGATCACATTGTTACTTTGTTAAAGACGTCCTGTCCGCACCACCTCATACTCAGCATCACCAACTCGCCGTTTGACCATGAAGGCTCTTTTCCACTCGGCGAGTAACTTTGAGCCTGAAGTGTGTAGCGTTGCTCTCAGGTCCAGGACATACCAAGCCTCGCGTTTAGAGGGGCTTGGACCCTCCTCTCAGTTAGTGAAACGGTGCGCAGCAGCACTGCTTCCAGACATCGCGCTGCATAATCCACCAGATTACCAGCCAGGCCTACATGAAGACTGTACTCTCATATTCTTACAGCACGTCCCACCAGGGGGAGAACACTGCTCCCATCCTCACCTGGTTCCTCTGTGCACACACAGTTCAGTCTCGTTTACCTCCTCTGTGTGTGTTTACAGGAAGTGTGTGTGTTATTGATCACACGGAGCGGTGATTGGTGATCGATCAGTTTCTCTGACTTTATTTAAACATGTCAAACACATTTACACATTTATTCCATTATGAAACAGCATGCTAGCAACAACTAATCAATATCTCATCTCTGAGCAGCCTCCAGCAGCACGTTACCATGGTGATGATGAGTGATTTCATGGATGGAGCAGAACGCCGTCGATAGTCTCGGATCAATAAATACGCGATGTTCTACACAGGAAACGTTCTTTAGGTCTTCAGGTTCCACCCTGGCCCTGCTGAAGTCCATCAGGAGGCCTCAGAAGGCTCTCCGGCAGGAGGACAGAACCCGGAGGAACTTCTAGAAGGGCATTCCTCCGGAGATCTGCCGGGCCACCTGCTCGTCCGGGGTCTCCTCCCGCTCCGGCCTCCTCTCCTGGTTCCAGTCCTTCAGACCCTCGGGCAGCGTCGTGTCTTCGTCCTCGCCGCCGGTTCCTTCCACGAACTCCTCATAAGTCGACTTCTCAGCGAAGGGCCGTTTGCCGAGCAGCTCCACCATGTCGTTCTTATCCAGAACCTCCTTCTCCAGTAGCCGCTGCGCCACCTGCCAACGCCACAGAGGACAGGTGAGCACAGAATGATCACGGGCAGAAGCACGCAGGACCCTGCTCCGCAGAACTGAACCAGAACCGCCCAGAGCCTCGTGACTCAGTGGCTTTCTGAGGCACGTAGAACACAGCTGAGCCTACCTTCTCCACCTCGGCCTTCTTGTCGTTGAGGAGTTGCTGTGTTCTCTGGTACGCTTCGCTGATCAGGGTTCTGACCTCGGTATCGATGAGGCGGGCCGTGGCCTCGCTGTACGGCTTCTCCAGAACCATCTCGCCCTGGCGCGGCAGGTCGAAGGACACCTGGCCCACCTTCGGGTTCATCCCAAACTGAACGATCTGCAGGAGAACACAAGGAGGAGGTCAGACCGAGCAGAACCCCCACAGGAACAACTTCATTTCCAAAACCTGCACTAACAAAAACACGACTGGAGCTCATCAAAGAGCCAAAGCTTCGAGGTTCACGTCTCCCCCCGAACTCGGCTTTAAAGGTTCTCGTTCGAACGTCATCCTGAGACTTACAGTGAAGGCTAACACCTGCAACACCTCTCAGGTATCACACCTGCCTCACACAGCCTGAGGCTGTTAAGCCTCTGGAAATAGGTTGATTCTGTTCATTTGAAGGTATTGTCTTCATCGGGTGACTCCTTCAGTCTCAGCTGACTGCAGGTTGCAGTCTTATTGGACATCTGCACAAAGACCGACACCTGACGACCAATGGGCTGTCAGGTCAGTTTATGATCATTAATATGCAAACTGTCACGACCACTCATCAACAGCCACTGATCAATGTCCATGAGTGGCGTCCACAGAGAGCCGGGGAATGGCTGCAATCACAGCATTGTAGCATGGTGACAGGTTAGGCCCCCTCACACGTCATGTAAATGCCCATTGTTCCATCAGTGGTGCTGCAGTCAGGCGTTGTGCAGATGTCCTGTTTATAAGGTTGAAACCTGCATTCAGCTGAGACTGACGGAGTCACCTGATGATGATGAAACGTCCAGATGATTGAGCTTCAAGACTCTGGCTTACGGCTAAA